CGGCGCGGTGCGGCTCCAGCCCGGCCCCGGCCCGGTACCCACGGCGCGGCTCTGGCCCGGCCACGGCCCGGTCCCCGCGGCACATCTCCGGGTCAGACCCAAGCCCGGCAACCCCGGCCGGAGCGTGGCTTGAATCGGGCCCCGCTCTTGCTAAAGCCGGCCCTGGCTGCATCATGTATTCCATTATATTTAATGTTGTATTCCGCAGGACAGCTGACTCACCCTTACTACAAAGTTTTTGCAAATAAATCTCTGACAAACTTCAGGACATATCAAAAAACCTGTGACTGACATTTTTTATTCCCAAATTTAGTGCTTTTAATTAGGTACCTTCTCCATGTTCATTCTGCATGAGGTAGAGGGTACCTGGGTCTCTGGGGGAACTGTGACTCTCCGCCACAGTGAGGCAGACCGGGCATCTCGCTATCCGTTGCTCCCTCGCTGGGGGCGGGCCCAGAGCATTTCAGCACCGCCCTATAACCCCACCGCTAGCTGGTGCTGCCTCGGCATGTGGGCAGGGATGCAGTCGCGCCGGAAGTGACATTAACTGGAGGTGGAGCGCCCGCCAGATTTGAAAAAGTGACGTGACGAGTGGTGTAGCGGCCCCACTGCGTGGGCTCCGCTGTGTGAACCCCACTTCTCTCGGGTCAGGTGAGCGGCGCGTGCTGGCATTCACCCCTCCCCCACACCCTGCGGTGGGACTTGCATACTTATTCAAAAGATGTAATTTAGAAGTTACTCACCCTGCAGTCTGTATTTCAGGCAGATATAAAACAACACGGACCTCACTTGCAAAGACTGCAGCAGTGGTACCAAGGGACAGCTGCTTCTCTGAGAAAAGGGATCACAGGATTCAAGGGGCTGGGCTAAGGGCCACCTTTGGAGCAGAGGGGCCAGAATTTCCCACTTCAGCTGCTTTGTTCCTTTCCATTGCTCTTAAATGCTATAATGCTGCTTTAACTGTAGGCAGCAGGATGAGATCTTGGTGATAAGTGTCAGTGATCCTGCTTTTATCTAGTTCAGCTAGCACTGCCTGCAGCAGAAGCTAAGCCCAACCCAGGAACCAAGAACTGGGTAGTGATGCTAGGCCAACACCACTGTGGGCACCAAGTGATGATCCTTGTGCCTGCAGCTCCCTATAGGGAAAGGAAGAAACATCTTCCTAGCTGGGACCTGGACACAACTCAACCTTTTCTACTCACCCGCCCAGAGGAGTCACTTGCTGTTGGAGATCAGATGCTCTGAGTGAGCATTCTGTCTGTACAGTCCTAGCACACGGATGGAGATGGACTAGGAGGCCCAGTTTGATCTCTCATGTGTCAGGTCAGTTTACTGGACTTCTGTATATCCTAGTATGTAGAGTACAGGCTTTTTTTCCAATCCCCCTCTGTATTATTGCCCAGGATTACTATAAAGAGCACTTTTACCCAAGATTTCAAGATGAAAACAATTAATTCCTTTGACTTTTAATTAGGAAAAAACTAGTTAAGTTGGAAATTAAGTTTATTATCCAAAATCACCTTTCCCCCCCAAAACCCAACACTCTACACCTTGGAGATTCTCCAGAAAGCTGTGAAGGGGGATGGAGGCTGGCTACTCAGTGGAAACCCACTCGAGGTGCTGGACGGCTGAGTACAAAGTGTTCCCCACCAATCCGATGAGTGCAGCCGAACCAATGGCCCCTCTGTTTCACTTTCCAGGGTCTGTAGAAAGGGATGAGAGAGCACAAAGACTGAGCTAGCTCAGCAGCGCCACATTGCTCAGCACTATCCCATGCTGCAAGGAGGTTTAATACACGTTTAGCAAGGTAGCACTTGAGGGAGTGGGGGTGCAGGTCAGGGCCCAGCTTGCTCCAGAGAAACTTTGTTCTCAGCTGCCTAGTTGGTTCATTTTTGAAAGGGAAGTCCAAAAGCTTTTATGGAACGTGGCCATTTAAAAGCAAGTGGGTAAGACTGTTGCAGGCTGAAACCTCCATGCTCAGCCCTACAGATCCCTTAAGGTCTGTCAAGGCTGTATCCGCACTTTGAACTTTAGGGTACAAATGTGGGGGCCTGCATGAAGACTTCTAAGCTTAACTACCAGCTTAGTTCTGGTCCGCTGCCACCATTCCCA